GGTAAATAGCAGAGTAGACTGGATTCTATAGCCTTGGGTGGCAACCAGTCTAGGAGAAAGACAAATCTAAATTCAAAACCTGGGATGAGCAGTTTTCTGTGTTCAGATCTTCCAAAAGTGTGATTGTTTCTGCACAAAACTTTGCTGCTATAATCAAATCATATGTGCAAGTAGTCTGGCTGTTCAGTTCTAAGAACTGAGCTGCTAATTCCTTATATGTCAAAAACAACAGGGGAGTCCCATAATATGTGTGTGTGTAATAACTTTGCTTGCATTTATTTCAGGGCATAATAGACCTATTTTTCTTTGTTTTCAATGCACAGTGCTTAGATTTTGTATGACATTTATTAAAATGAATTTTCATTCTAAAAAATTTTAATCTGAATGATTAACTATTATTTTTTCTCCTTAACTGTTCATCTTTTGTTATTATATAAAAAATGACAAAAGTCTTGTGGAGAAATAATATCAAAGTTAATGAAAAAAAAAAAAAAAAAGCTGAAATCTTGAGATGTAGCCTCCGCTCAAATGCAGTTAACACTAAAAGACAACAATGATTTTTTTCTCTAGTGCCATATTTTTCTCTTTTAAATCAGCAATCATTTTTTTGTGTTTTAATTAAGACTGTTATTTTTTACAAGTAGTTGTTACAAGTTTTATGTTAAGCTTAGATAAATTTTCTTCAGTTTAATAGAACTGGTGGGTAAAACTATGTTTTCATCTGTTGGGTTTATTAGAATCAGGGCCAGCACTAGGGTCTGCTAACAGACCCCTAAAAAACTTTGATATTGAGGAGCGGGGAATACAGGGCTTTCTACTACATATTGATTTCAAAGTTTCCTAACCTGGGGCCCACAAACCCTTAAGGGAAAAGAGCAGCACTTTTTTTTAAATTACCAAAAATCAGGAAATTATCTAATTTAAATGAAAATTTTGGTGCATATTCATTCATTATTTACTTTTATAATGAATAGTTTTTTTTATTTAAAAAAATCTGAGTAAATGTTATTCTTTTTGTAATAACCACCAATATTTTCATGACTAAATTTTACTCTAAGTTGCAAATTCTAAATTTCCATAGAGATTAATCAATGATGCATCTACACTGAAAAAAGGTTTTACGAAGATTCCAACACAACACAAATGGGATTGTTTTAAAAATTTGTTTTAAAAACAGTACTTCAGTTTTCAGGAAAATTTTTCATGTGTTGAAATCTTAAAAATTTTTATTTTTTAAGTGATCATTTTCTTGATTTTTATCTTTCTAGAAATGTAAAAAAATAGTGATTAGAAATTTTATTTTAATTACTAGCTGTGGATTTCTGGTTAGTATTAATATTGTAACTATTAGTTAAGAAAAAAAATCAGAGATTCTTCTTAGTGCATGATCTCAGAATAAAAAATGATTTTACTGAAGTATATTACTCTCTTAATTGATTTGAAAGATCAGTTCAGAAAGAAAATTACAATTTAAAAAATAAGTGCTACTGAAATTAGCACTTCTGTTCTCCCCTCCTCATTAAGCATGGGGGGGTCCCCCACAAGGTTGAGAGGTTCAGTGTAGTAAGCACTGGTCCTGTTGATTATTATAGTTGATGATTTGACAATATAACTTGGGTACCTGCATAGTACACACCACACCGGCCATGCAGATACACTATGTATATTATTAGTTGAGGACTAACAGTGTAATGTCAGTTTAAAAATAATTTTTAAAAATTGTAGTTGGCCATAAAACAGTTCTGAAAAAAAATAAGAGGCCAGAATGGGGACCCAAAATTGTATATATATATATATATATATATATATATATATATATATATATATATATATATATATAAATAAATAAAATAGGAAAGAACTCGTTAGGTAAATAATCCAAAAGTTCTTTAGTATTTTTTGTTATTATTTAAAAAAAAAAAAATGCTCAATATAAAAGTAGAGCCTAAATATAATTATTTATTTAAAAATGATTCCATCGCGATGGAATCATATTTTTAAATAATTATATATATATATATATATATATATAGCTGTAAAAGTTTACAGGTTAGAAAGAGCAAATTGTACAAAATGGCTAGATAACCAATATATTTCTTATTGAAATCTAATGCCAAAGTTTTATTGCCAACTCAATCTTCAACTAAACATTGATTCACACACTCCTGTTCAAAGTAACAAATGGGTGTGTACTTATATATATGTGTGTGTGAGAGAGAAAGAGATTTAATTATTTTGATACTAAAATAATTAGTAATTAGTTAATATAAACTAAAATATTTTTTCTCATTGTTGTGCATTGAAAAATAAACAATTAAGCAAGCACGTGTTCTAAAATGCCAACACCCATTATTGTTAACAACTTTTTGATTTTGATTTTTTTTCTACACAAATCTATTTCTTTTGCATCCTTTGAAAAGCAATTCAATGTAAATTAATTAAAGAAAATACAAAAAAATTCTAATATAGGTTCATTTGATATTCTGGCTTGGCCATTATTTCATGAATGTATCAAGTATCCTCATGTTCTGTTGTTTTGATCACTATGTCTAAGTAGATGTATTCTTTCACCTTCTTCAGATGTATATTGCATTAAGGAGACTTTGCATAAAATCTCCTATTTCATCCATTTGTTTGTGTCTGTGGAATTGATGAGATTCACTTTTCAATACTGCAAGAAAAGGCAAAGGCTAAAATTTGATTTTTTTTTTTTTCACCCTCTACAAGCCTAAGAGCCACTTGAGGTAGAGAGTTACTACAGAGTAGAGGGACAGTTTATGGGGATATGTGAGAAAGATAATGGTTAACCCTAGACTTGAACAGGTTAAGATTGTAGTTATTGGAAAAGCATCCTCTTGGGAGTTGGTACCACATAACAGTAGTTTGTGGGAAGAATCTAGTCAAGTGGAACTTACATCTCACCAGTGGAATATAAAGGGAATGAGGTTTGTTAGCTACAATATACATGGCATGGCAGGTCTTTGCTGTGAAGCTAAGAATTGGTGAAACTAAGGAATGTAATTTGTCTGAACTCTTTCTATAGAAATAGCAATAGAGTAGTGAGAGGCTTGCTACATTTCATCTGTGAGGAAAAGTGTTGTAGTGTGGAAAATGATAAAAGAAAGAAAAATAAAGACAGTAACAAATGTATTCTTTCTTTGTATATCACCAGAATGGTTGTCTTATCTAAATAACATCAACTTGTCTGTGAGGGTTTTTTTTTTTTTTCCTTTTGTGGGACTGGATGAATTCTTGAAAAAAGTTTAATGATATATTTCAGCTATTTTAATGGTAAAAATTTTAATTTGCAAATGTTGTGATGTGGGGTCTGGCAAGATAGAACACTTAACTCGACCGAGTCAGTGATGATAGTAGTATTCAATACTCAGCTAGATAAGTCACTGCAATAGTATTATTTTCTTTTCTTTCTCAATAATTACCCAGGACTACTTATCATGAATGGATCAGTCCATTCATGATAGTATAGAGGGTAACTGGCTTTTACCATAACAGTAAATTTCTGTAAACACACTGAATTTAAAAAAAAAATAAACGAATGCTGTGTTCCCTGTTTAAAGATATGAACATTGATGCATTATTCTATTTTGTTTGATACATTAATAGTGGCAGATTTACTATGAAACTAATGACGCTTAAGCTTCAGGGCCCCTAATCCTACAGGTGCTCTTGAAGTAACTTTTTAATGAATGAATTTTTCAATAAAATCAATTTTTTAAAAACTTTTTTGTGTTATTAAAATAAGGCCATTTTAGTGTTAGAATTATAAGCCAGTGGGTTGAAGTAGCTAGTGTTGTCCTTAGAATATGATCTAATACCCATATCATATAGCCTCAAAATTTCCTGGTCAAATTTTAAAATTTTCTTGGGAGTTTGCAGTGCCTGAATTCCTGACTGTATGGGCTTGTTGGGCTTGCCAAAATCTTTTCATAACCTACATTTTGGTAGTTGGATCCTTGAATCTATTGTTGCTGGTTGTGAGTCCCCGTGCCCCAATATCTGTTCAAGCTACAGGACCCCAAAAATGTAAGTTCACCATTGTACACTAACTGCCATTTCTTGTGAAGTAAGCATTCAAGTATTAAGTATATTTATCTGTAAGAAAGTGCCCCTGTTTGGCTGTGAAATTGACAGATGTTTGGTTACATGTTTTATCTTCTCATAAATAAAGTATCCTCATCTTTTGCTTTTACTGCAACTTTTTAATGAATGCATTCTTTAGCCGTCCTCAGATATTTGCAGCATTTGAGTTTTACTTATGAGATCTTCATAAAAATGTTTTATCACTTCCTATGATTCTCTATATGAAGGAATGCCCAAGACAGTTTAATACTTATTGTAATCTGAAATGTTCATATTTTTCTGTGTATGTGTGCCTACATTTTAAACAAAGATCTGGCTTTCTCTGCTTTATATGGTCCCTATATAAAAGTCTTCCAATTAACTTAGACTTTCCTATACACTACAGTGTCTTACTCTTTTAGTAATTAACCTACTTGTGCATTTATGCACCAAGCCTAATACATTAGAATATAATATTTTTTCTATCATTATGAAGAGTTCCATCTCTTTGTTATGATACAAAAATATAATAGTCTAATGTATAAGGCTTGATACTCGGAGTTGATTAAACCATACCTAATTAGTTGAGCATAAATGGGTTAATGCACTAGTGATGGCTTTTGCAAAAAATTTTAAGCCTGTCTTTTTATTTCCTATCTTGATCCTAAACATTAGTTTGTATTCCTGGCAATTGTGATCCTATGCAATTTATACATTTTTAATATAGTAGTCTGTAGTCTAATGATTAAAAACAAAAGCATTCAGTTTACACAACATGCACTTACTTTCCAGCAAAGTTTTCTTGTCAATGCACAATTTCAGATCAAAATTCAACTGATAACATGTCAAATATATATTTATCCTTGTCTATTGATTACATATGTACTCAGTCACACATTCTTTTTTTATAACTTTTCCAGCTGACTGACGGTGTCAGAAACCTCCATATGAACGACGATTTGTCAAACCTGCCACCTCCACCTCCCGAGTTGCTGCAGCAGCAGTTCCTCTACGGTACCATCCCCAACACAGCCCAGCAACCCCTCTACGGCCAGATGGCATACTCAAAGGGACAAGGTCATCTGTCCTACAGACCCGGTGATGGAGAGCTACAGATCAAGCCAACCCAAAAAGGTAGCCTCTTTAGCATCCCAACTTCGGAGACTCCAATTGTTGTTGAGAAACGGTCTCCTGGTCACCTGGCTCCTGCTCCACCAGAGAGCTTTAAGTTGGTTTCTGTTACTGATGAAAAAGAAACACCCCCACCAATTCCTGCTCCTGTGCAGGCTCCCAAACCTTCATTGGATGTCATGAACCAGCAGGTGCTGAAGTCTGTAGATGACCATGCCATTCAGGTAAGCAAATTTTCAAACATTGTTACACATAATAAGGAATGTATGTTGACATTATAAACACTTTTTCCCTTTGTTAAGTCTGAAGGCCAGCAAGTAAAGAAAAGATTTTTAAAGGAACCTTACCTTGTTACCCTAGCTGTCACATAGAAAAAAAATTCACAATTTTTCTCTACTTAAATCGATCTTGGGCAAGTTGCAGATCCTGGAACCAGTTAGTGTTTCTTTTTCTTTTTTTAACTGTAGTGCGCCATGTCATTTGATGTCATGTTCCAATTGAATGGCTACCACAATCCTCAGAGCTCTGGTGATGGAGTCAAAAAAGAAGTTATCTGTTGTGAAGAGTCTTTTTACAATTCAGGAGATGAAGGCTCAAATCACTGTAAAGTTTGAGGAAAATGATACCAAATAAAAATGTGGGCATGTGTACCACTCTATTCCTGTTTGGCATTAGCCACAAGTAAGGACACTTTGTAAATTGCAAGTAAAACAGTTTGGTATAGTTCCTTAATAATTACCTTCACCAAATAAATGGTTAGGTAAACAGATTTTTCTACCTTCTTGTATACTGTAATTTAACAGCTGCTAAAGTTGAAATTGGGCATTACTTTTTACTCACCCTGCATATTACAGATAAAGAAATCAAATAATAAACAAGTTTGAAAAAAGTCTGAAGGCAAGAGAACAATAAATGCTTGTAAAACAAAGAGCACAGATGTAGCAGAATATGATATACAAGTATATATCAGATTAATATTCGGTAATTGAATGACAAAATAGGAAAAATGTTTGTAAAAATGATTAAAACTAATTCTCTGTATTGTTTTTATTAATATCACAACCTTCTTTTTGTGGGAGGGGTAGTTTTTTTTTTTAATATCATTTCACCCCAGACAAGTCAATAAAATCACTAAGATGCAGTGGTGGGGGTGACAGAATATGAGAAAAAGAAAACATTATTAAGGAGAGAGACCAACAAAAGAACAGGAATTAAGAAGACAAAAGATAAGGATTGATATTACATTTACATTTTTGTAGATCAAAGCTGGCTGGAAAGCAAGCCAGAACAGTGTTCCATAGGCAAGAAATGTGAGAAGAAAATGTTAACATAGAACTTACAGTTGCAGCTAGCCATCTCAAATATAAAATTATGAGACCTAACTACCGATCTAGTACTAATTTACCTGATCCATTCTACTGCCTTCTTTCAATGTCCATTTTGTAAGGGAAGAGATTTTTCTCTACTGAAAACTGAAAATGATGGTAACTGACTGGACAGTCAATTGGTTGATTGTTGTTTTTTTATGACTTATCAACCTTTTGTGGGTTATTTAAAGTGAAAACATATTTTACATTATAAGAATAATTTTTTTTCTGATTGAATACTGTATTAAAAATTTTTTTTTATTTTTTCCAAATATATGTTTACTGTTTAACCCATAGCTGTGGGTAGGAGATGAATTTATACCTTTTCCAAGAGTATTTGCACATAAATGAATGTCACAAATCAAACTGGAATTTGAACTTGGCTCTCCAATTTCTCATCCTGAGCCACTATTCATTACACCACCTACACATCAGTAGAAGACTGCTGAATGGACAAGGTGAAAACATTGTGGTAATAGCAAAAGCTATATAGAGAATGAATTAGTCTGAAGAAATCTTGAAATAATAATGACTTCTTAAAAATGATAAAATGTAACCTAATTATCTTTATTGATCAATGATTTTTTGTGTACTCCAATATCCTCAAAGCAATATAGCTTGGAGGACTTTTGAAGAACTGTGTTATTTAAGCATTAATTTTTCCTGTTAGCATAGTTGGTTGATTTTTATTCACACATTTTATTTAATTTGTTTTCTAAAATGTTTAGGTGTCAAAAAGTACTCACAACAGCTTCAAGGATCTCGTCTGGGACATGATTTTCTCAAAGAATATTACCAACGACTTGGAGAAAGTCAGGTTTGTTATTTTTTAATTTTCTTCAGGGAAAGTGTCACTTGGGTGTCTGAAGAATAACTCCGTAAAAGCTTTTAAGGAACTAGTTTGTCAATTATTCATATCAATAAAACTGATAAACTGGACATTGGAGACTTTTTTTAAAAAAAGTCACAACGTTAATAATAATAATAATGGTTTAATAATAACAATGTTGTTTTTTTTTGTTTGTTTTTTAATTACAAATGTCATGTCCTTTCATGACAGGCAATCATGACTTCTTTCTTTATTATTTCTAAATTGCTATGATGTTATAGGAAATATCATGGAGTGTCTTCTCCACAGTTTGGAATTGAGAGTTTTCCATCTTCTAGACTGAATGCCAACCACAGCTCAGGAGCCCAGTCTATCCTAAGTGGTATTTGTGTGAATGAAATGAACTTGACCAAAATTCAAACTTGGCTAACTAATTTTTTGTTCCAAAAAATTAGTTAACCAAATTTGAATTTTGGTCAAGTTCATAATATTCACACAAATACCATTGAGAAAGGCAGCAGAAAAGAAATAATATTCACAAGTGTGTCACCTCATTTCTCTCTAAAACAAACTTTATCATAGATATGTACATGGCCGGTGCAAGGGTCTTCTAGGCTTCCACCGAATTATGTGATACAGGGTCCCCAACTCTATTTACGTCTCAGTTTTCATAAGGTAGTATTCATATCAAATAAAAATTTTATTGTAACCTAATTATATACAATAGTGGATCATATGCAATATAGGTGAACATTTCTACTAGGAAAATTGAAAATAAATACAATGTATCTAAATACAAATAAGAGACGTCATAATAGATGATTCCATCTTAACTAGATCAACAATGTTTCGTGGTAATTTTTAACATTAACTAGAGATTTTTCTTGTTAAAAAGTTGAATAATTTTAACACCTTGAACATTATGGATAGTGAATTTTATATAGGTTTATTTTTTTTTTATTTTTTTTTTTTTTTTACTTCACATGAATGAAACAAATTCACGGATTTGGACAGAAAAAGTCCCAGAATGAAGTCAAAATCCACAAAAATTTAATTTTTCATCCCTCAATAGTTGTGCTTAGTTTAATTTGTAACATACTTAAATGTCCAGCCCTGGATATGTATATATTAGCAGGTGAGGAAGAGAATACACATTGGGTTTAGTAATATCAACACTTTCAGACATCTGTTCAGCTCATTAATTATCATGGCTAAGAGACTACTGCATATTTTTTTTTTTTTTTTTAAATCCATGAATTACTTTTATTTTGCATTTATTTAATTTTCACTTTTATTCAGCATAGTGAATTTTCACTCAAGATTTCCTATCCGTCTCAGATGTTATTTTTATCTTCTAATTGTTTCTAACTTCTTCTTTTACAGAGTTATCTTTAGATGGCTTGCCTCCAAAGATTTGAATGCCTTCAATTTTGAAAATCCAGAACCCAATAGCCCTGAAGAAATTCTGATGGGTTTGAAGACTGGAAAGACAACATATGCTATGGTGTTTGACATCTTGTGCAAGTGAGTTTTCCATACCTCTTTTTTTTTTTTTTTTTTTAAACCTTTGACCTTGTTAAATTTTGACAAAAAATGCAAGCTGTAAATTTTATTCCATTCACTGACTTCATGTTAATTTAATTGATTTAACTATGACTTGGAGCTGTAGTCAGATATATGTCTATCCGGATAACTTACATTACACCTATCCAACCACAGCTCCATTAAACACACACACAAAAACCTACCAGACTCTATCCGAAACATGCTAGTAGACAATACAAGCATAATAACCTCATCCACATAGAAAAAAAGATTATAAAAAATGGAAGCCTTGAAAATGAAAAAGCCAACACTCAATAATATTAACTACAAACGTGGCCACAATGTGCTAACTGGGTTCAGAAAATAAAACCTCCCTATAACTCTAGGTGCATACACACAACCCATACATCCAATTAAAAAGTAAAAATAAAATCTTACTTTATAATGGCTAAAAGTATAGCTGAAAGCACTTGGAATTACAAAATATTCAGACAGTTTCTACACACTCCAGAAAAGAAAACACTTGTTTGAACACAGGAAAAATTAGGTAAAAACTTAATCGCAGTACCTTTTCTGTTATCTTTAATGAAACATGTATAAAAAGAGATGTCTGCCTAAATACACAAAAAAATATATATATATATATATATATATATATATATATATATATATATATATATGCTTTGACTTCTCAGCTACAGAGTGTGCCAATAACCAAAGTCTGAATAGTACCTAATTTATGTTTTATTTATATTAATAATAAATATACATTTTTTTCCTCACCAATAGTACAACTTTGAGTTTCATGCACAACAAAATCGTCAGGTGCTGATTGAAAACTCAGCACCTGATGATTGTGTTGTGCTACCAGTGAGGAAAAAAATGTACATTTATTATTAATATAAATTATATAACTTTTTTATTATACATTGAACACTTTTTTATTAACAGCAATACTCAATGGGCAACATTTTATATAAATAAGAGGGAGGGGGAGAAAATTCTTTCTCTAAAAGAGATTTAAAGGGATCAATTAGATACAAAGACAGTGAAATATTGGTTGAATATAATCATACTTTCAAAAAGCTGATCAAATGAGAAATTTATTCTTATGAACACAAAAATTTCACTATTTTGTAAACCAATCACAGGACAATCTGGATAGTCTTACAAGTAACATTCTGTGCAGGTCAGATTTTGACAAATGTGGTGTGTTATTTTTTTTATGTCAAAACAATAATAATGTCTTTTTGAATACATCATTAATATAACTTTTTCTCTTCAGTTATGCTGGCGTCCACAGTAAGATCATCAGTGGTTTTGCAAAGGGTGCAGACTATCGTCCAGGCCAGAAATTCACCCGTGGTAGCAACCAACATTCTTGGAATGCGGTCTACATTTATGGGCAGTGGTGTCTTGTCGACTGCCACTGGGCTGCTCGCCGTATCATTGGCAAGCAATCGACCAACGATGAAGAGGACTTCCACTATCAACTTGACGAATACTTCTTTCTCACTAACCCTCACCAGTTGAAGTTCACGCATTTCCCTGATGAACAGAAATGGCAGCTACTTGAACGTCCCATTTCCCTGGAAGAGTTTGAGAACCAGCCACACATGAAGCCGCAGTTCTTCAAGTACGATCTGGAGTTCATCAGCCATACCATAGCCGTGATTGTTACTAGGGGAGAGCTTAACATCCGCCTTGCTTACCCCCATCAGCGCCGACCATTGGCATTCAACTTCAGCATCCAGATGGAAGATGGCACAGAAGAATACAATGGCATCAAGCTGAATCGCTATGGCATGCAAGAAAGCTGCAATGGAATTGCCTCCTTCCGACTTCGACTCCCAGCTACAGGTTCTTATGTGCTGTATATCTATGCTAAGGAGGACCGGCCAGAAAATAAGGAGAATGTCTATGCTCAGGTGTGCGAATACAAGATTGTGCAAGAAAACATTAGCGTACCCCAGCCACAGCCATTCCCACCTTGCAGTTACCTGACCTGGGCCACTGGTTCAGCATTCCAAAAGTATGGCCTACTCACGTTCCAGCAATCAGCCACAATCATGACCCGTGATGGCAAAGCTGAGCTTCAGATTCGTATGCCAGAACAACCCCGCCAGTTCATGGCGAAGCTCAAATCTAACAACTTCAGTGATGATGACCTCGAAGGTTACATCATTGACCGTGTTGTTGGGCACACTGCCTATTTCACCATCTCCCTACCTGGACGAGGAGAATATGGCTTGGAGCTCTATGCTAATGACCCTGTCAATGAGGGAATGACCCTGTATCATATTGCTCAGTATTTGATTGTGTGCAATGAAGATGTTAAAGCTCTCCAGTTGCCGAAGCTCCCACCAGGCTATCTTGGACCTCAACCCAAATTTGAGGAGTTTGGTCTCAGTACATCGAGTCATCCAACCAAAGTCATTTTCCTGGAAGGGAACTATGTTGATATTAAACTGTCGACTGCTGAGGCTATGAGAGTCACAGCCAACCTGATTTCTGTCGAGGAGAACAAAGATTATCCCGAGTGCGTGTTCACTCAGTCAGAGGGTTCTGTGGTCACTTTTGCCATTCTTGTGTCCAAAACGGGTTTTTACAAGCTGCAGCTGTATGCCCTACCATGCCGTGATACCAGTCAACAGCTTCCAGGTATCTATAATTATCTGGTGTATGTTCCAGCCATTGTCAAACCAGCTTATCCTTTCCCAAAGCAGTATGCCCAATGGAAAGAAGGCTGTTACATGTGGGAACCACTCATCCTTGCTTTACATGCTGAACGCAAGTCGCCAGCAGTCAACTTCAAAGTATCCATCCCATCTGCCAATGCTGTTGCTGTGGTTGTTGACCAAGACTGGACGACTCTGGAAAAGACTGGCAACATCTGGGAAGGAAAAGTGGAGTTGGGCAAATACTGGGGTACCAACACCCGTGTCACGCTCAATGCTAATCTTGGGGGTGATGCCAGCAGTTTTGCCACACTTCTTGAATATAATATCTAAAATCCAAAATCCTAATCAGATTTCTTTTCTGCCTCTGCTTCTCCTGAAACCTTTATTTTTTTTTTTTATTACAAAATGCTATTTTTTTTTTCTCTGGCTAAAATATATTTTTTTCCTTATTTTATTTTTTGACGCATTGCCTTAAATGAGCTATTTTTCAACCAGCAAAAGAGTCTTTTTTTTTTTTTTTTTTTTTTGTCATATTAAATAAAGAAAAGCAAACAAAATCTTGAAAGATAACATTACAGAAATTAATAAGAAATTTTTAAAAATATTCTGCCATTATATTAAAAATGAAAAAGAATTTAAAAAAAAATGTAAAAATGCTATTAAATTTTTAATTTTTCAATTATTAAAAGAAAAAAATTTGAAATAAACGCCTTCAATAATGTTATTGCTAATTTTTGTTGTTTTTAATTTGAGGAGATTGTCTATGTGAACAGACGATTTCCTCTTGGAATTATTCTGTTGGCAGTGAGATACTATTGAGTGAGTTTACATACTGTGTTACCATTGCATTTACAGCAAATATGAATATAGTCTTGCTTAAAACTTGGGTATTGATCTGCAGAAATTATTTGATTTTTTTTTTTTTTTTTTTTTTTTAATCATTTCACCCCAAGCAAGGTAATATTTCCACTAAAACACAAGGGGTTACTGAAAACAAAAGAGAAAGAGATTTTTGTGAGGAGAATCGACAATAAAAGAACTGGATTCAAGAAGACAGAAGATGGTGCTTAACATTGCATTTAAATCTTTGAAGATCATAGGTGGCAAGGAATTAAGATACCAGAAAAGTTCAGCATGAGAGAAATGCAAGAAAAGAAATTATTAGAATAAAACTTCAGTTACATTGAGCAATTTCAACAGTAAAATGATGAAACTTAGTTACCGATCTTGTAGTATGCTTAAATTAGTGAGATCAAAGTACCAAGGAGGAAAGCTCATTAGAACAATTGCCATGAAAATATTTTTATAAAAGTCACCAAGAAGCCACATCAAGATGCTAGGTCAGGACTGATAACATTACAGACCCTTCTTTGAATTTTGTCAAGAATCTCAAGATATATAGCAAGAGTATCAGACCAGATATAGCTGCAATATTCAATGTGTGGGTGCATGGTAGATTTATAAATGTGAAAGATGGATTCTGGTGAGAAAAATTGTTTGGCACAACACAGTGAACCAACTTTCCTAGCAGCAGATTCAATATAATCATTCCACATGAGGCCAAGAAAGCACAATGAGTAGTTTAGCATCAGCCAAGTTGATGGAAAACAAAAAGATAACAAAGATAGTAGTTTTGTTTTGGAGTGGTTAAAATTTACAAGTTTTTTCTTGTCCCAGTTAACAAGTGATTAGAAGTAATTTTCAAGATCAGCTGTCAGTTTTACATTATAAGATCTATTGGACTTAACTATTAGGACAGGAGTAGTTTTATCATCAGCCTAAATACCATGTTAGAAACTGATGACATTTGGAAAATTGTTGAAGATATTAAACAAAGTAGATCCAAGGATAGATCTCTGGGGGGAAACCCCACATTAATGTGAAAGGATCTAGCAGAGGGGCACAACTCTCAATTCATAATTTGTTAAGAAAGATTGGATCAAGTTTCTCCAAAGCCCTCAACAATCAAAACACATGCAGAGTGCAATCAACTCAACAAGAACATGTGCAGAGTGCAATCAAAGGAAATCAACAATTGACAATGTGTTTTTTTTTTTTTTTTTTTTTTTTTTTTTTTTTTAACCAGTATCACATCACCCAGGAATGTCAGCTTTCACTGCCAGTTGATGTTTGACCCTCCACAATTTCTTTTCTTTTTTTTTTTTTTTTCAGAAACTAAAAGTAACATTGAAAAAGAAATTTCAGACTGTGGTCAAGATTAAGAATGCAATTATACAACTGATGCTAATCCTGAAAAGGCCATTTTGGGGAAATAGAAATAATGCTGGAGTAATGGTCCTAATGGGAGTACTTTGAAGAGGGATAGGTACATTGCTGTTGTTTAAGGGAAGTTCCATCTATTTACTTTCTTTGGGTCTCCAAATACATTTTGGATAATTGCTTATCAGCTGAATTATTCATGGTTGTTGAAATCTATTATGTTTTTGGTTTATAGACATTATATCTGCACAAAATGCCAAACTCTTTGTACAGCTTCAAGTGGCTGAGTTTTGCATTCAAGAGTTATCCTTTCCCTAGAGAGCCAATTTGTCCTACTATTTAACCCAGAGCTGGAGGAAGAAATGTATTCAGACCTTTTGTTGGGATATTTATGCAAAAGTGACTGTAATGAGCTTGACCAAAATTTGAACTCTGCTCACCTATTTCTCATTCTGATCACTAACCAATGCATTACCTGAGATAGGCTACTTTTCCATTAACATTGAATAACTGATCAGGCCCAGACCAGCATTTTACAGGTATTTAATATGCTTAATATACTTAATTATCCATGTTGAAGACATGTTAAGGAACCATATGAAAACTTATATTTACATTCAGAAAGAGTCGAAGTTTCTAGAAAATAAGGCCTGGAGAATTCAACACTTAGACGACATTGTAGTAAAGAGAAGAGGGGAAAAACAATAAGTTTGTATGAGTAAACGATAAAGAGTCAAAAGTTACTTAGAGCAAAAAAAGAGATTGGAAGTTATGGAGGACCACTATTGCCCATGTCAATATCTCATAAATAATGGCCTATTTTTGTTTTGATCACATGGAAAGAAGGAAAAAGATTCTATTTGATTTCAGTGAGAAAATGAAGGTAAGATAGCAGTGTTTAATGGCTGTTTCAGTAAAATGGGAAAGGTTCTCGCATTCAGATCTTTTCATTTCTACCCACTTCTTAAAATAATGAACAGCATTCATATTCATGGGTATTTTTCAATGCACCCACATCGCTACCAAATATGACACAGTCTATTTAAAGTGTATTTTTTGGCAATACCATAGAAAAATTGCCCAAGAAGGCCCCTCAACACTTCCCCTTTTGGGGACACCTCAGTCACTGAGTAATAAATCTAGCCCCTTCCTGAAGGAGAGGTACTGCCTGGTGGATTGCGGGGGGGGGGGGATGCTCCCTGGGGCTTAGGCTTAATATTTTTTAAACTTCCCTGCATAGGCTTTTGCCTACAGCAGAATTCATATTTATGATTTTTATTGCAATATTTTGTTAAAGTTGTTAAGCTTAAATATTTAACAATACACTAGGGAAATTTCTACATAAATTTTATTGTCATAGAACCCACCATAACCTTCCACTTATTCAATCATTAACTTAAGAATTAAGATTTATCAGAAAATTTAAATAGGAAAACCGTGAAATTTTCATCGGTCTTTCTCGTAAGTGACAAGGAAAATGACAAATAGCAATAACACATTTTAACTTAGAAGGTTGTCAAATACCAAGAGAGGAATTACTTGAAAATATAAAGGAGAATGAACAGAAATTTTTAAGTTATTCGGCTGATGCAAAGGTCTGTAATGTTGGGGAAATCCTAGAAGCATGTAAGCAGTTCTTAAATACATTTTTGTGCTTACTATTTAAGAATTGTTTGTGAAAATGTGATGATTTGTATTGTAATTGTGAATTCAATCTTTGGGCCAAGTAGTGCACACACACAGTGTAAATAGAGCAAGCAATAACTGAGGAATACTAAATAAGAATGAGATGATATATCTAGAAAAATGGACATGCTAGGAGAAATGAAAACACAAAGACAGAGTATGAAAAATGTTTTGCTTCTAAAATCTAAGTAAAAAGTGTTTCATTGTTAAGCAGTGGTCCCCAACCTTTTTTATGCCCATACCATTCTTATTATTCAAAACGTGAACTCCTATTGACATGGAAGAAGCCCCAAAGGTCATTAACTTGGTCTAAACAATCTTCCAAAAAACATGGCATTCATGAAAGAGAAAAATGAAAGAACAGTTGAAGTACTGAGGAAGAAATTACTAAGAAATTGTTTGTAATGATGGTGATACATTATATACTTATCTATCTATCTATATCTATATATATATATATATATAATGAAGAAAAATTTATGGAAAAAACAAAGAAAAATCCTAATATGCAATTATGCTGTTTTAATGTTAATATAATGTCAACGTCAGACGTTTCGGTCTAATAGACCATATTCAATTCAACATGAAAAAGACGATGGACATAAAAGCAAGACCAATCCAAGATGGTCTATTAGACCGAAACGTACGACGTTGACATTATATTAACATTAAAACAGCATAATTGCATATTAGGATTTTTTCTTTGTTTTTTCCGTATATTTTTCTTCATACTGTCGGATCGATATCCATATATTTGCTTATATATATATATATATATATATATATATATATATATATATATATATATACACGCACACAAGCACGGGTGTTTTATGTATGAACTTTCTGTCTTGTATAAGTTATAGTTAGACAGGAGAGTCCATCATACATAAAATAGGGAGTTACTTTTCAATCCCTGTACATATATCTATAACTTTACTAAATGGATATATAATTCCTCTTATTAGAAGTACAGTGTTTTATCATATCTTTGTATATTCTCACAAGTTTCCTTAAGAACTTGAGACTGTATATATGCAGTAGTATTAACATTTAATTTTAGAATTTTACAGTATTTATAAAAATATTGTGTTACTAATATAAATATATATTATATACTGTACATACATAATTACACATGTACATACATAAAAAAGGCACTATATGTATTAACACACACTCACTAGAAAAAAAATTCACTGTTAATAACTCTTCAAATTGTCCCCTTAAAAATCAAATTGACCCCCAACCCACCCCTGTGGAGGCATGCACCTCATTCTGGGAATCATGGCTGTAAGGCGATCAATCCAGATATTTTGCTACTTTTTAATATTGATGCTGAATTTTGTAAAAATTGGTAACATATTCACCTTCAATATTAAGACTACACACCATTTTATCATTTTTTTTTATTTAGTCACATA